TGTAATCATGTTTCACACCTGTTCTTTCATATTTATTGTTGGTAATACTTTACCAATGAAAATAACAAATAGGCAAACAACAATGTATGGCTTTAATATAGAACAAAGTAATAATTAATTTTCAAAATGTCTTCCATTAAGTACTGAAGTAAGATCTCCTAGAAAGAGATGGATGGATTGTGTAAAAGGTGACATGATCAAAAAGGGAGTGATGACTGAGATGACGATGACTATGATAGAGTTATGTGGAAGACAAAAACCTGTTGCGCCGACCCTACGGGAGTAGGATAAGGAGATGATGATGATGAAGTACTGAAGTGTACATTACTCATTTGTTAAGTATTTTTGTCATATAAATACTAAATAACGTTAAGTAACATAAAATAGTTTCAAATTTTTTAGATTGTCTATCAGTGCGCAGTCAAGACGGACTACTTACTAGTGCAACATATTTTGTTTTTTATAATACAACCTCCATTTACATAATTGTGTCTGTTGTATTACAAATCAATCCTTAAAACAAGATTAGTTAGATTACAATAAAATTATGTTCTTGACCTGTTTTGTTGTTTACATCTTGGCATGATCACAGGTTTCAGTTTAATGATACTCGAAACTACATTACCTGGTCTATTTATACCTTGAATTATCTAGAAATTTCGAACAAATGCTTGACTATTCATTTTTTATAAGGTAGAACAAAGTCCATAAATCACTGACTGGAGAGTAATTGACTAAGATATAGTGCTTCTCAGTACTGCAGGCGATCAATACGAACGGTGCTGTAGAAAATTCATCTCGAGAACTAAGATTGACAATTTTTTAGTAGCAAGAGGAAAGATTGTCAACATCCTCATTAATAAGAATGAAATCACAATAGACCGTAACGCTTTTCCGCTACACTCTTTTGTGATACCTTCAAAAAGATTAAAGAAAAACCCTTTTCTAACCTATTTGTGTATCGATAAATTAGATTTAGAGTTCATTTCATTTTACGTTGGCATTGCATCACACATTGAGTTAACTCGTGTCTCGTGGGTACCAGCAAGAAAATCGTCCACATCAAACACTTCGGCATATTATAAATTGAGTAGTTGTAGTCTATACGAGTACCCCTGTCATCTAGGGACGTAAATTTTAATTATGGAACAAAAAAGGGTCTATTATTATAAAGGTCAAATCGACGACATGTGGAAGCCGATAGCTGTGCACGGCTGGCCGCGCCTCGCCAAGGTAACGTTGTACCCACCAGCTAATAATAATAACTCTGGAGAAGAGTCCCTGAAACACTTGATTAGCAATCACGTATAACAACGATCTTACAAATTAGTTGACTACTCTGTGACTTGTGGCTCTAAGTAACTATAATCGAAGAATTTGCACACAGCTCGTCTTCGTTTTTTTTTTAATTTAAAGGTAGTAAATGAGATGAGAATTTATTTTTAATATGAAAGTTTCAGCAATGGAAACCCACAGTTACATTTTAGATTATAATTATTTATGTTAACAAAATTAAACAGTTATTCATGACCATACCTCAATACTTTACCTCATTACCTTGGTAGTTTCGTACAAAAAAACATTTTCATACAAACGTATTTCGCAAACTTTCAACTTAACGATGTCAATTATAAAATGTAAATAACTAAGTGATCTAAGCACATTTATCTAGTTATTTAAATGCGAAACATATTCGTACATTTAGGAATTTTATTGAGGATGATTGACAATAATGATTGTCTCTCCGAAATTATTATTAACTAGCTGTTTCTCGTGACTTCATCCGTGTCAAATAAAAAAAGATATAGCCTATATTACTCACAGATAAGTAACCTTTTTAATGGTTAAAGAATTTTCGAAATCGGAATAGTAGTTTTTGAGTTATATCAATACATACAAAAATAAAAATCTTTATTCTTTACAAACTATAATTAGTATAGATAAACAAATATTTAGTAATGTATTTACATAAGTAATTATTACTACACTTTATTTTAAATCATAAAGTAATGCACTGTTGAAACCTCGATGAATGTCTCTTTGGTTTTTTCAGGCGCCCGCGCTTTTTATACCAATTACATTAATTAGAGTATCTACCCAATGCGGAGAAGGCAGTTTCAATATTTATGATAGAAATATGTATAACCTATTTCCCTCTCTTTAATTTTTCCGTTCCATTCGCTTTTCTATTCTCCTTTCTTACATAATCTGGTATTAAAAAAATAAATACTTCCTCTACGGAATCGGTTATTGAAAATCCGATTTTACTTAGAGCAGTACAATTTGTTGAAGATATAAGATAAAGGTAAAGGAGGTCGTTGAGTCGCGCCACGACGACAGTCAACAGTATCGGAGGCAATTTGGTAGCTGTATTACATTTTGCCGCGAACGTGCTTTATCACACTCGCGAACATCGACATGAAAATTTACCTTTTATTAGATAAAGGGCTGAAAGGATTTGAATTAAAATTTGACAAATACTCCGAAGACACTTAAAACGGGAAACACACCTTTGACTAAAATTTTGCACAATTGTTGTTCTATCGTATCGTAATAGAAGCTTTAGTTTTCTTCAATAAATAAGGTGGTATTGACGTTTTGTTTAAAAAACCATACCTTCGATAGCTCAGTTGGTAGAGCGGTGGACTGTAGAGGAAATATCGCTGTCATCCATAGGTCGCTGGTTCAAATCCGGCTCGAAGGAATTGCCTTTTTTGGTATTACACATACAGACAATATAAATAAACGCGCTGATGTGATAATAACATTATGTCCATTTTTTAATTTTTTAAAACGTCCAAGTCACAAAGACGAAATAATTAACGTAGTCAGCAACCTTAATGGAATAAAGACACCTTTTCCAATTTCTGAATTTGAAGAGGAGGTGAGAGGAAAAGGAAAATTTCAGATATTTCTTTTACATCAATTCTCTCGCAATCTACACATGTATCGAATACCGTTAGAACGTTCTTAACGCAATGGTACTTTTAACTTATCCAATATTATTGATCAGTACCAATTCCTATGAATGTCTGCCTGAATATTGAGGTAGAGCAATATGCGACGTCCATAAATCAATCAGCGTGAGGTCGAAAGAAGACAAGAGTGAGGCACGAAGAGCTGCGAAGGCACGCCGGGTAATCGATGAGCCTCGCCTACTCTAATAACTAAAACTCGACATCACAAGGTTAAGGTCGGAATAGGTCGGTACATAAATCTTGCGGTGAAATACAAAAAAAGGAATGAAACAAGATGGTGCGAGATTTTAGTCAATTTGCGTCTACTTACACGATTTGCATGTGGTTACGTAGCCGGATACATATTTATAAGATTAAAAATATCATCAAGATGTTGATGAACAAAGTTGCCAGTATGTAAGAGATAAAATTGAAATTAAAATGTGTATAGGGGGTGGTGTGCGAGCCCCGCACAGCTTGGAACGGCTGAGTGCGCTCCCGCAAGGCCGCTGCACATCAAAGCCCAGGCCCTGCTCCGATTATCCTTTACCACTTCGTTACCTATATTAGCATCTCATTGGAAAACATATATGAAATGATCACATTCATAACAACAAATTGAAATAAAATAAATAGCTGTTTAACCTTTCCACTTCCACTAAGTTATCTATGGTTTGTTATTTGATAAATTACATAACATGTGGTAACTATGGTTATTAAAATCTGAATGTTATTTAAGTTTGGAATATTTGGTTAAAACATAAATAACCAAGTTAAATTGTTGACCTCAGAAAATAGTAAGAAACTAAGAAACGAATGTTTGCATGTTATTTCGACTTTACCTTACTCCCGGGGTCGTAGATGACGGAATTCAAACGAGGTTAGATTCAACATTATGATAGATAGCAATTTACAAGGCAAGACAACGAAATGCTATACCATTCTATAACGAAACATCGATAATTGAAAAATGGGGGATTATAAAGTTTTCTTGCCATCTTCGCCTGTAACGTCTGATGAATATTAAAAGAAGCAAGCTTATAAAACGACTGCTGTTACGAAAAAAAGTTCTTCCCAGGTAAACTGTTTAATTTCTGTGTAATAAATAGGTGAAATAAATCAAATAAATTTGTCCATCCCCTAAATTACAATAGTATATTAATTACAGTTATTTCTGCGGACTCGTTATTGGACTATGATATCAGTATACAACGGCGTGCAATCCATCCTCATGAATAAGACAATTCTCCCTTATTGGAGTACCTTGTAAGTTGTAACAATGCGCACAGTGAAAGTACTCAGACGATAAACAGCACATCCTATTGTTTTACACTATGAACGAACTAACAAAGCGAACTGCAATGCGAATGTGAACAGAATTTTGTTAACGTATTTATTACAGAATTCGGTGACTGTATATTGCATTCAAAAAATGCCCGTAACCTTCACTCTAAATTAAAGTTCATTCAAGTGAATGCACCTTCGATAGCTCAGTTGGTAGAGCGGTGGACTGTAGAGGATTTAGTATTGTCATCCATAGGTCGCTGGTTCAAATCCGGCTCGAAGGAAGTTACATTTTGCTACAATTGGTCTTATTTATTGTTAGTTTTTTGTAAGCTCGTATTATTAAATCTAAATATTACATTAATAAACATTATAACTAAATATTGTCACTTACAAGATCATTTTTATTATTAAGTCGAAAAGCGTGCAACGTTATTTACATAAAACCTCATCTGACGACAGCTAGCAGGGCAGTGGCGTAGCGCAAACGAGGCTCGCGGCGGTGTATCCTGCAGGAGACGTCCCCCCGCAACTCCCAGCTCCTCCGGGAGGACCATTCAGCTGCCGAGTAAGACAAAAGCTCGCTTTCCGCACCGCGCCGTGTGAAATGCTTAAATGTTGTTCGCTATTCAACTCTCTGTGAAACTGTGAAGTGAACCAACGTGCATGGCAAAAGTATTTTTTCCTAGTGTTGATTTAGAATTAAAACTCAAATATTAGCATTCTATAAAACATTATCAATAGTTAGATATATCTTCTATTCTTTAAGCTGTTATGACATGGATATTTATGTGAAAAAATACATTTTCGCACCCTGTTCTTGATTTAATCATTCTGAGTAATGTTCGACCTCCAATATATTTTTAAAGCCTACAAATCCAACTATATTTTAGTTTATCGTTACTTTGTCATTATGAGATCTCAATAAAAAAAATGTGATATAGATGCAAACGAGGCAGGAGCGGGGGCGCTGCGAGCGACGAGGTCGCTGCACATCAAAGTATGCAGCCTCACCTCGTTATCCGTCCCGGCGAACAAGCACACACGCTATCCCTGCTGTATGCAAACGATGCCTGATTAAAGTTATTAATGTTTTCTCTTCAATTAACAAGGTCATAATAAGTTCTCACAAGAGTTGCCTTTAGGATGGACAAAATTAAGATTGTAATACAGGTAAAATACTCTAATATGTGACCGTTGCCCTGCTGAAACACGTACAGTACATTATATTTATTACTTTCATTTCCAAAAAACAGAGATAACATGTTTTTGTATAAGTAGAAACGCGAGGTCACTGACGATCTTCGTAGATTTTCTGTAATAAATTAATTACAATAAATACGAGTACGTACACAATGAATCAATAATTATTTTTAGTGGTATTTGTTTACGCTAGTTATATCAGTGGGCGGTAGCAGGCGGTGCACTCTGGTTTGTTTATCAATAATGTTACAAATAATGCAATGGCGGCCACTTCTGTATCTTGTTATTGCTGTCTGCGTATAATTTACACAATCTAGGATTGTTAACGTATATAATGGTAGATAAATAGTAAAATGTGTTGGCGTGGGAATAACATTGAACAGCTTAGTGTAATTTCTATTTAAATGTGTTGAGTAGATGAATACCAGAATCGGTTGCATCCTACCATTTAACGACATAGAATTTTATTTATACTATTCTGGTTTTTAATGCGTTTCTTTCTATTTATAAAACATTTAGAATTTATGTTTTTTTTTCCTAAACACATTACTATTGAAGGTTTTCCTTATATAGTTTTCTTTTTCAACAATCGAACGAAACATGCTCACATAAACAAAAACATATCCTCAAAGGCAGTAGGTTAATGAGTTTCCTCACAGTATTCACCAGGAGCTGAGACTTGCCTCGTGATACGGATGTGCTTCTGGCGACTCTTTTATTTTCCTCCCCTCTATGGAGGTCCTGGGAGCAATGACCTAGTAAGACAGAGCGCAGCGTTATATTTCACTCATTATAATCGATGTTAGATTTGTAATCGCCAATTTTATTTTATCAATTTCTCTGTAGTCTATTAAAGTGCTTTGATATTTTTAGATAAAAACTCCTGTTCGTTACGTAAATAAAACCAAGGCAGTCTAACGTGGATCTGTTAACAGCCAATTGATTACAAAAATGCGCTAGTTAGCAGTAGCAACTGACATAAATTTTCACTTGAGATTCTAAGCGTAGAACATAACCATAAATTGTGTTATTTAACACGCTTTCGTTAGTTTATATAAATAGTTCTTGTAAACAATAGCAGTAGAATAAAAGTAAAAAAAGCTACTGTAACGCTGTAATTTATTTTTTAAATCTAACACGTGGTAAATATAAATAAACTTTGAAAAGTAAAGTCCTAACTGAAAGAGGATTAACGACTGCAAAAATAAGCTTCATTGGTGTATATGAAGATTATAGGTAAAAATGCGAAAGTTGAAGAACATTTTACAAAGAAAGTTTTAAAAATAACTTTTAAAACGTCGAGTATTAATAAATGAAAGTAGGTAATAATTGCAGTGTCGTCTGACTTGGAGTTGACTTTTATGATTTCGTGGCGTATTCTATAGAGGCTGGAGGCATTCAGCGTGAGCCGTTGCTACTCGACGGCCGACGAACTGGACGAAAACATTAATTAAAGAGAAAACTTCATACTTAAACTTGAAGCGAGAATGACTTTTTATTAGTAACTCGGGATAACTATGGCAGCGTTATAAGTCTGGATTTCATCAAATTGCAGTTTTGAAAAGATCGGTCTTATGTACATTTTTTTAATCCGATCAATCTATCAATGTTAACCTGATAATTATTGAAGATCTTTTTAAAGTTTAGGGAAACCTTAAAACCTGACCGGAACATATATCAATATAAAGCTAAAATTCTACTAAAATAAAAAATAACACAAATGGCACTTTAAACATTTTTTGTAGTTATCGTCTTCTATTTCACCCATTGTCCTCACTAAAAAACTTTATTATCCGCCTTTTAAAAATCTTAGATAAAATCTCAGACGAAAACAAGCCACACTCTTTGTTCTAATAATACATTTCTATTTACTTCTGTTCATAATTCCTCCAGGAATATGATATATTGAAATAAAACACCGTAATACTTTTAACTTTTTTAATAGGGATAACTTATATAATATGCAAGGGATAATCCCAAGGTCTCTAGTGATAAAAGGACAAAACCATTCACAAATGGACAATCACATTTTATCACCTGCTCAATAAATACAGTCAACAGTAAGCATAATTCTTAAACAATTTAATCTGTAAATGATATTTAGTCATTTTACAACTCTTGATAATAACTGACAAAGTTTCAAAACTAAAAAGTATGTTGATAAGGCTCAAAATGGCCGAGTTCCGGGTGCAGGCTGGCCGCACTGGCCGCACTGGCCGCACTCCAGTAGGACACTACGCACTGTCACAGTCACTGCACGGTAGGGTTCACTATGTACAGGTAGGGCCGCGGCCGCGCACGGGCGGGCGCCGCCGCCGTCACTCGCGGCGCGGGCGGGGCGCGATCACTGCGCCGCCGGGTGGCGGGGGCGGCGGCGGCGCGGCTAGGACGAGGAGCCGGCGCCGAAGAGGGCGGCGTTGAAGGCGGGCGCCGCGGCCGCCGCCGCCGCGGGGGCGCCGGCGCCGCGCGGCTTCGGCATCGGCGGCTGCAGGTACTCGTGCCGCGCCAGACCGAACACGTCGATGCGCTCCTCTTTGCGGTACGCAAGGCACGCTCGGATAAAACTCTGAAATTTACAACATATTCGTATCAATCAAACGTCTTGTAAATATGTGCCATGCTTTAAGATATAACAAAGCTGAACAAAAATATAATTTTTAACAACATTTCAATGGTAATTTTAATGTGATGATGTGGTGAGGTGATTAGATGAAGCTCACTTCATTATTCCAGAAAAAATATGTTATACTGTAATTAGATTTTGATATATTTACCTTAGCCTCATTACTGACTGTGGGTTTGTTGGCAAACTGAACCTCAGTTGCCTTCAAAATGGTGTTTTCTTCTAGAATAGTCGCCTGACTCTGGTTGTGACCGAAGGGCTTCTTGCCGTACAGGCACTGGTAGAAGATGACGCCGACACTCCACACATCCACCTTACTACTGATCTTTGGTGGGTTCTTGCCTACGACGAAGCACTCCGGCGGCAAGTACCTGCATCACACAACAAAAACATATTTAAAACATGTTATACCATTTATAATGGTAAACACAATCAACATCTGTTGCATTCAGTCTAAAGATCTATTTTGTCAAAGGCCTAATTTCAGTCTCCTTTACCACCCTTTTCTTATAAGGAAAACATAGAAAACATAAATTGATTTGAAAAAAAGAGGACGCACAGAAATAAGAAATTTTCCTTCCTTAACCTTTTTTTTTTTAAGTCCTCTCCTCTATCAATTACAGGTAGACGTTTTCCTTTTGCGGTTGTCTACGGTCAGCCATCGCTTCGCTATTTCGGCGAATTCAGGTTATTACATATTCGCGACCTTTTGTTATAAATAAGATATATATGTACCAATAAGTGCCTGCGCCCTGACTCGTGAGATCCATGCCATGGTCCGGGTTGTAGTTCTCCTCGTCCATGACCTTGGAGAGGCCGAAGTCTGTGATCTTGATCTCTCCGCAGACGTTGCCCTCCGTCAGCAGGATGTTGCCCGGCTTCAGGTCGTAGTGGATAACGGGGGGCTTGATCTCGTTCAGATACTTCAACGCGGATACCACTTGCATCACGATAGAGCGCGCTTCTCGCTCGGGGATTGTTTTATGCTACAAATATATAAAAGAGACACTTTAGAGAAATAATTAGAAACGCCAAATATGCCGATAATTTAGTTGGGCCGGGCTGTCAACCCATCATGTAAAACCAAATCGAATTTCAAATCTTCATACAAGTCAATTTGTCATACTTGAGAAAAAAGTATGGATATTCATTTTTGATTACCCTCATTGAAAACCAAGTAGGAGACACTAATAAGCAATATACTACTTGAATAAACTGTAGGTGCAGTAGTAAATTCTTACCTGTTTGAGATAGAAATCGAGATCATGACCGTTACAATACTCAAGAACTGTACAAAAAGAATTCCCATCAATTTCAAACACATCATATAATTTAACAATCCGCGGATGGTCTAATGCTTTATGTATGTTATATTCCCGTAGTGCATGTCTGGAACAAAAACAAAATTATTATTTAAAATCACTTAAAACAACAATTATTGAAACACAGAACTGTAAAAAAAACTGTTATATTTTATATAGATAAAAGCATTTAACATTTAAAGGTCCAGTTAGACAGTTTATGTAACACTAGCTGTTGCTCGCGACTTAGTCCACGTGAAATTTATAAATACAGCCTATGCTACTCAGATAATTTACCTTTCATCGGTAATTTTCTTTCTAAACCCGGCCCCGTAGTTTTTGAGTTAATACATACAAAATACAAGTTTTTCCTCTTTATAATATGACTATAGATGTCAAATGATAATACTAAATTTCGACAAAAAAAATTTTTTGAACAACAAAAAGGTGCAATCATCATCTCCTTATCCTCCACCCGTAGGGTCGGCGGAACAGGTTTTTGGCCTCCACATAACTATTATACGTCATCTCCGTCATCGCTCCCTTCTTGATCATGTCATCTTTCACGCAATCTAGTTTCTAGGTCTACCTCTACCGGTAAAATAATATAAAATGTATACATGAATTGGGCGTCATATACGGACTCACTTGATATAGTTGGCCTTCTTGTCCTCCTTCCAGTCCTTGTTGAGCTGGTGCACCTTGCAGGCGGTGTAGCGCTGCTCGCGCAGGTCGAACGCCTTGTGCACCTCGCTGAACCCGCCCTTGCCCAGCAGCATCAGCAGCAGGTATCTACCACACAACAACCTTCATCACAACAAACAATATACACTTATTAATCAATCTTACTAAAATCATAAATGCGAAAGTTTAATTGGATGGATATTAGTTTGTAGCCTAGGATCCTGAATGGATAATGATGAAATTTGGTATGGATGTAGAGGAAATTCTGGAAGAGCACATAGGGTATCACACAGACGAAGTCGCGCGCGGAAAGATAGTCAATAAATACAAGATTGTACATTATTTTGATGAATTCACTGCTTTTGCTGCATTCTAACTTAAACTCACTCTTCAAACATTATCTAGACTATAGTTAAAACAATTACAAGGCACATAATGTGTCATACAATTCATACAAACATTGTCCATATATAAGAAGAATGCAATAACGATCAACAATGAACTTAAGATGATCAACAAAATAATTAAATGTGTAATAGTAGTATGGAAGAACATTAAAAGTAAATCACCTCTCAGACAAGACAGGATGCTGAGAGAATCTGCTCTGATCCTCATTGTGTATTCGCTTCAACTCTCTTATATGAAGATTCCTTTCCCGTTCCAATTTCTCCATCTCTAGCTGCAAATCTGCATCTTCTTTTTTAAGCGCACTCTGTCTTAACTGGAAAACAATTATAATAAATTATTTATTTGACTTCAAATACATTTCTCGATAAAAGATGAAAGTATAATAAATAGTCTCTGTTTTCCATCTATGGCTGTCATATTAGCCAAGAATATATACTTTTATAATAAAAGACAGAACCTTAAGCAATATGAAATATCAAAATCATCCAACCAACCAAATCTGTTTCACCCAAAATATCTGCACAAAGAAAGTACTAATTACATAAGAGACATTGAATGTGTTTAATGGAGAGTTACAGTCAACTTACTTTAAGAATCTCATCAGCCTCGTAGTACTCCTGCCAGGTCATGCTGGGCAGGGGGTCAGGCTTGAGGAAGGTGGGTGCGTCGGTGCCGTTGTGCAGCGGCTGCGGCTGCGGCGTGGTGGGCGCGGACACGCTGCTGGTGCGCTTGCCGCGCCCCCCGCCCTCGCTGTTGGACGGCTCGCTCCGTCGCTTCTTCAGTAACAACTTCTTCTGACGATCTATTTCCTCCTTTTCTGCTGTTATCTCCTCTTGCCGCCTGGTTATACATAGTTATGATAAAATATTATACAAATACCCTCCAACATCTAACATGTTCAGAACAATGTACGGGAATATAAAAAAAATTGGGACAAAACACACTTTTATTGTAGCAGAAAGTCAATAAAATCAGAGCTTTAGTTTTAAAATATGTAACAAAATCAAAAACGTAAATGCCACATCATTATATAAAAGTGTCGTCTTCTAAAGCCACCTTTGAACTGATACTTCAGTTAGAAAACCACAAAAACATAAATAATTTGTCAACTGTTTTCCCACTAAACATGGATGGGATTAAGGATATTTCCGAAAGCGTAAGGAAAAAACCAAAGCCGGTTTATTGAGCGCAATTGTAATGTCTATTTAAAACGTAACTAAGTAATTATAAAAAAATAAAAATCCAATATTTAGTCTGGCTAAATTGATAGTTTTTTTTTGTTTTGTATATTTACGGTTCCATCTCTATCCTAATTCCTATTCATGATGTATAGACATTAATAAGGGATCATTAAACTTTGGAAGACTGAACTATAACAGTAGCTATTTACTTAAAACCTCACAGTCTATACTCCCATCAGCATGTTTCTTTTTACATTATGAAATAACTACCTTGTTAGTTCTTGAAATGCATATCCATCAGTCCAATTCTCCTGGAAGGTAGCCCCAACACGCTGGGTAACAAATTGTCCGAGCCTCAATCTATTCTGCATACATCTCTGCCGAGCCTCCTTCTTTTCAATAGTACTCTTCTCATTTAATAATTTCTTTACCACTTCTATACATTTATTAATGTGTGATTTGTGTTGATCTATTACCTGCATAATAGGATAACATAAAAATACAATTTATGAATATTCCTTGACTACAGGGTAAAATTATTTGCAGATATTATCCGGACATAGGCCTCCCCCAAAAAAACCCCATGATTGGTCCTGAGCCTTTCTCTTCCAAGATACTTCCGCAACCTTGAACAGATCATTGGACCATGTTGAAGTTATGTACATGTAATTCCATTTCATTTTTGACAGACTTCCCAAAAGAAATAAATACTCAATTCGTCTGTATGTTTTTTTTTATAATAATATATTATATAGCACATCATCATCATCTGCTCACTATACATACCCACCAAGAAGCCTACACTAAGTTAAGAGTAACTAGGCTATGGCCAAGTTGACCACATTAAATGGAACAGATTAAATAATTTGCCAATTTGTAAGTGAGAGGTCATTTGAGTATATTTTGTGGGGTATCATAGAGTACAGTCAGCTACACCAACAATGTCTGTGTTCACATACCTTGCTCTGAGCTTGAACCTGATGTTTCAAATCTTCATTACTCCTTGTTAATTCTTCTATTCTACTATTTCTTAGCTCTAAATCAGAAGACGCCTGAGTTTCTAACTCTTGTATCCTCTGACATGTCAGTTCTGTTTGAATCTGTTAATAACAATGTTATAATTTTTAATATAATATCTTGTTATAGATTAAACTAGTTGTTAGACATATGTAAAGTCCAAACAATTTATAGTCATTGTTAGCCCCTAATGGATAATACCATTTTGATCATACTGTTTATAGATATTACTGTTTTGACCTCTGTTACACATTTTGTACTACACATACAAAAATTTCCAATTAGATCAAAACACATTTAAGGCATATCGGGATTTGTTTGTAATATGACAATGTCCTAATGCATCTAGTCTGCTAAATAATAACTGTCCAGTTGTATTTTAAATAATACAATACTATATTAAGTAAGTTAAATAATATATGTAAAGTACATTAGTATAATATAATGATACCTGTCTAACAGAAGAGTGTGGGCGTTGCCGAAAGAATTCAGCTCCCGAAGACAGTATTTGTGACGGTGACGGTGGGTACTGCAAAAAATTAAACAATTAAACTAAACTAAAATGTTACAATTAACTATAATTCATACTTATAGCATGTAACACAATTGAAATAAAAAAAAAAAAACTTTCTTTGCTTGTTCCTAAAGCTTAACTTCATCATACAAATATTTAACTTAGGATTTAATTATAAATTAGTTAAAATTACCATAGGATAATTAGCTCCCTGAGGTGATGGAGACTTTGCTCCCGTATGCCTAACAGGGCTTGATGAAGGATGCTTGGAAAAATATTCCCGTATATTTTTATCAGATGTATTATGTCTCTGTTTTCCACCTCCTCCTCCACCGCCACCCACCCCTTCTTCACCTAAAATTTTAAAAAAAATTAGCATTCAGAATAAAAAATGCCTATGGCGACTATACTGGTAATTTAAAATCTATGGAATACTAAATAAAAATGTCAAAATCTACAACACTTGTCATGATTGATGCTGTAACTTTTATTAAATCTAATATTTTTAGTGGTAAAAGATTTTTTTGTAAAATAATCATTCCTTAGAATGAGAGATCTTCGACTTTATGCAGTCCTTTACACAAAACCCTCAACAACAATGTGTTTAACTGTCAATAATCAAAACTGGTGCAACTTAATAAACTCACTGTTTCTATTTTACCAATAAAAAGACTAAAGTTCTCAAAAATTGCACAATGTAACACTTAAAGCTTTGTGTAAAAATTAAGAGAGTAATTCAATAATGAACATTAAAATGAGGAATATTGTTGATATTACCTTTTCTTTTCCTTTTTCTTTCAGGCACAGCAATGGTGGGTGTAGCACCACTGGGTGGTACAAGGGCATTTCCAGGACCTACAGTAGAGCCTCGCATAGCGGCAGACTTCTCGGGGGTTAAAGCATCAATTTCTTTGTCACTATGTGAAGACCCTGTAATACAGGTGCTTGGTATATTGCATTTGCTTAACTTTCAAGTATCAATGTGTTTAATTTAGTTTTTGTTAACATATAACAATTAATAGCTGATATGTACTTGGGTTTGATAGATAAAGTTTTACTGTTTTCAATTACTGATAAAACATAAATTTAGTGACAATTACACTCGAAGTCACCAACTGTAATTTAGTTAGGATAGACTAACTAAGCATCCTTATTGTAAAACTCACTTTTTGTTAAATAATGGTGATGTAGTCCGACGATGTTTACGTTAAGTCCATTTTCATAGTCTTGCATTGTGGCAAGCAATAATCCCATGCGACAGAAGTAAAAATGGCACAACCACAGTTGCTAAACGGCATTATATACTTTATGACAACGTCACAATCCTCCACTAAATTACAAATTCCACAAAAGTTCGATCTTCCAGGTTGAATTGAGGTTATTCTCAATGAGCGGCCGAGTGTTGTAAACACAAAATCACTGAACACATCACATTTATTTTACGCCACTTTTATCACCGATCCACAATTTACCTGTGCTCATATTGGAGTCCTGGTTATGTAGTGGCTGCCCCGTGTTGACAGTAGTTTGTGGTGCCATCTGAATTTGTGACCCAGCTGACATCTGTAAAGAAAGATGGCGTCCTTACATATGACTCGCCCAGTTAAACTCGTTTACCACACATTTATTATCACTCTAAACCAATCACTTGTTATACTAACAAATTATTTATTAAATTTTGTATCAATTTTGAACATCATTATTGAATTTTCACTCCAACCGTTGAAATAACCTAACTAGTTTGACAAGTTGTAAACGCCAGCCGCGACTCGCAACAATCGGATACGCATCCGCGGGGCGAAGTAGCGGGGGGTGTGGAGAATGGAGATCGTCACGAAGTTTGCTCCGAATGTAATAATAATACCGTCGGGCGAGGCGCCATTTTACAAGGATACAAGGCCGAGAGTATTGTTAATCCAGTGAAAATTAATGTTCACTACTTATTGTATTTCTCAATTTAACAACAACATTATGTAAAAGCGTATTATGTTTTTTTACAAACCTATTTTAAACAAATCTGTAGGTCAACAGCCCGTGATTGTCATAGCACAATATTAACTAATAAATTAAACGGCTGTTCATCGCAAATGTGGAATAACAGAAACATTTACATTTACAAGAATTTATCTGTAGCTAAGCCGCAAGTTTTACGTATGTACGAAATCGAGTTGACCGATTATTCCCGCAACGAGGTGCGGTGGCAACGGCGGCGGGGCGGTGGCGGCGGGTTGCGGCGGGTGGCGGGCGGCGGGCGGAGTGCCACCGAGCACCGACCTGCGGCGAACGAGTACGTGATATCGGCGCTCGTGCCCCACAACAAACTGCTTACTGGACGTGTTACGTAGGCGTCTGTGCCTGCGATGTGTACAACATAAACACAGATAGATGTATTTATGTAGGCACGCAAGTATCCAACTAAACGTATATAGGTATGCGCCAAGCACTGAGCGATAAACTTATGTACACAGGCAATGGTGTACATTTTACATAAAGTACTTATATGTTGATGTTTAATCTCGAACAAGCCGCGATAATGCTAATCAAACAATATTCTACTGTGGAATATGCTAAATAATTTATCACAGCTTTTAAAGCATGTGTAGCACTAACACTGTAAGCACTAACATTGTATTAATCGAAAAAGTATGCAATGCTATTGAAAATCGACATTATGGTGGTGTAAGGAGGTTACGACTACAAAACAAACCAAAAAATATGATGTAAAAAAAACCTTTGTTAAAAATCAATACTATAAAATTACTTGTACAACTTCACTACAACTAATTATGATGAATTTATAAGTAAAGCTTTATTTATATTTCAATTAAATTTAACTGCATAATTAGACTATACAATGGATATGATATTTAAATATTGATCGTGATAGCATGAAAGCGCAGTCTGGCAAATGTGATTGATTTTCTTGTGTTGTTTGCAACATAAAGCAAATAAATACGCAAATCAATTTGTTTTACCTAGTGTCGACATCAAGTTATTAGCCAACGATGAGTTATAAAGTAAAAAAAATAGTAAGGCACGTATCAATCGGGCATATTGAACATTATCGTTGTGGCATTGTCGCCGCGTGCTCCCTTCGGAGCCTCTTGCCCCCTCCGCTCCCGTGCAAAGCGACCACCGCTTCACAGAACCAATACTTAGGCCACAAAAGAGACGTACAAATACGTGTTTCGTTTGAATCAATTTAATGATAAGGAAAACAGAGCCACGTGACGACTGCACAAGTTAAAATTTATATTCAACACTCAAATATTTTCGACAAGGCTAACTGACGTAACTTTCAGATAAGACACCTACAGTTTTATAAAAAAATCTATTTTTATGCGCGAAATTTGTCTTCGATTTGCGAATATTCGTTAATGCAAAGCGATGAAAAAGGTTTATTGGTGATATCCGAGTATGTAAATTGGCCAATGATTTGCCTGCGCAGTGCTTATTGTTATGTCTATTTTTAGCGCAACTCGCATCAGGCGAATGGAAAGTTAGCGAGCTGGCAACATAATATTTACGTTGCCTCATACAATATGCGTGAACATGAGTGTACTAATCAGTTAATACTGTGGTTAATTTGTGTGAAGTAACACAGAAATAGAACCACTTGACAAACCATTGGAAAGTAGAAAAAAATATATTCGCAATGGAAGTGATGACATGTCTAGTTATGTGGGAATAGAGACGAAATCTAGAGTGGTGCTATTCTCGTGTTTGTATTGATCAAATCCCCGCCACCGCCTGCTCACCCCCGCAAAAACCGTCTCCTACCTCTTATATCACTACAAGCTTAACTTTTTTTTTAAACTAAGACGAATGAAAATTAAATTAAAAATAACTGTACACTTTAATTGTTAAAGGACATTGATTCGTTACGGAAATATGTCATGTTCGTTTGTGTGGCAGTTCTTCTATCTCAGAATTTAAATTCGATGGGGGGAAAACGAAAATTTTCCACGTACTTACTTGCCTTCGTAGTTATTAAAAATACTTGTTAATTTAAATTTAAGATACTACTTAGACTTTACAAATAATGTTAAGACTAACGATATGCAAGGTCAAAAGATTTAAAAAAATACACAAAAAGTGAATACTCGGAGTTATATGAGATTTGCATGCAAATAAGCCAAATTGCTTATAAAAATTAATTATTAAAATTAGTGAGAATACAAGCTTGTGGCCAAGGTCAACATGAAATGTAACATAATATATAACGTAGTACAGTGCGGTGTGGTGCGGTGCGGTCTGGGCGTGTGCATTGCTGCGCCGCAGGAAACTGCGTCTCTAGGTGGAATGGAAGACAATCAATACTCGGTCACATCTCTGCCTCGCTCATTGTGAAAGCGCAGTTCCGCGGACCCCAAAATCCCCTCTTCCGGTGCGACGTACAGCCGCGTGCTGTTTAACCCAATTTTCTAGTGCGAGGGGGCAAGGGGCAGGGGACGGGGAGGTGCAGGGTGAAGAGGGCGGGGCAACTCCAGCCGCAAGTGTGCAGCGCCAACGAATCGTCACGAGATTCGAACCCGAGCCTGCAATATTGATTATTTCTAGTTCCGACTTGTCTCTAGCTGCCTTGATCAACTGATTCCAATAGCAAACGAAATGTTCACTTTACTATCATATTCCTTTTAACATTTGCAGTGTGCAGTAAGAGCTTGTTTTCCGAAACCATTCTACCATGTCTTTTTTTGATTACTAAAAATACTTGTTAAATACGAACACTATGATATTTTACTTTTATTTAAATTAATAGCTATTATGTTCTTATGTCAATTTTATTTTGGACTTTTACTAATAATAATTCAATGACTAACCCTCGCTAGTCCATTGTGTTTGCTTTATACCCTATTTGCAGCTGGTCAATGCTTTCAACATTTTAAAAGGTGATTTTACATAAGCTTGTCTATTGTAAATACATAAAGCCATACAATAAGCACCGACCGTCAATAATCGTATTAGCTTTACTGACTTAATCATTACTGGGAAATCATGTACTCAAGCTAGACTACGAATATATCTGAATATAAGAATAAATGATTACCCGAAATGCAGGTAACAATCACAACTAAAAAGCTTAATTTGGACTAAAATAACCTGATTGTCATACGTAAGAAGAATTTTAAGCACCGATTTAACATAATTTATTTAACGGAAAAATACATCCCAATAATATAATTGTACAGTTAGGGTAAAAGACTTGGGACATTTAACTATCAAAACAAATCGAAATTTAAAAAGTTATCAAGTCAAAACAAGTCTAATTAGGTTAAAAATATTTGTGTCAATAATGTCTCATGAGTAAACATGCATTTAAAAATATCGTTATAATAACAGTAGCTTGACGATACTTACTGTCGAAACTTTCATAAAATAAGTTATTACCGAACAAAAAATCAAAGAGCGCTAAAGTTAATCGCCGGGCTCTACGATGTACCCAAGTGAGCGTAGCGGGCATGCGCGCCGCTCCATTCACAACAAATGACGTGTCGCCCGTGTAGCGTGCTACGTAGCCGCCGGCCCACTCTCTTATTCGCTATTTCGCTTTATCTATTCAAGATTTTTTATAATTAAATACAAATAACTATTACATATTTCATTACATCTTATATTTGAAATTAAATCTCGAAGATTGTATCGAAATTGCAGGTTTGTGCGATAAAAGAGGAAGCCGGCCGGCGCGGCGGAGTGGGTCAGGCGAGGCGGCACGGGCGGCACGGCGGCGCGGGGCGGTGCGGGCGGACCTTGCAATGTCGCGCCGTGACGCTCAGCTGACGCATGACAGCCGCCCGCCGCCGCCGCTCCGGCCCCGCATTCATTGCCTTTGCGGCGGCCAGCGTGTGAACACGTATCGATGCTGTCTGCACGCACCAACATAAAACTTTTAAATGTTTTCGTTTTCGACGTTTCAATATGCAAAAATGCCGACAGCATTTCAGAAATATGCGATAGAACAACTTATGTGTTCAGTGATAGTACGACGATGAAAATTGTTAAAATGTGAGTGCAAGTTGGGGAGATAATATATTTATTTAGGAGTGCGGTGACGAACGGTGCGAAAGGTCGGATCGTGTAAAAATAACTGCGGAACCGGGCGGCTAAGCGGTGGAATGAGGTTTGACGGCACAATGTAGCCGAGGCGGGGCGAGGCCGTGTGCGCCATGTTATAATTTCCCTTCGAGTTGAATGTGCAAACCGACTGACTGAACGCTGCGCCGTGTCTACTTCTCTTTCTCTCAGTGCGGATTACCGTGCGCTGCGCTGCCGATTGTGCTACACACGTCTCAACAACTTGCTAAATTATTTATTCACAAACGAAGTTTTACATAATATGTTATAAGCTTCGACAAAATATGATTAAATAATACAAATTCTTGTTTTTTCTAACAGACTAGAGATTAATATTTGAATACCGAAAAAAATGTTAACGTTTATTGAGATTAAAAAAAAAACATTTCTCGTAAAGGTTGATAAGTATGGGTGACGGTAGGATATCGTTTCACTAGTTTAGTCAAGCATTATAAAATGCAGTATATTCGGGGGTATTGGTTGAATTCGGTGGATTTTGAGTGAGATAGCGCGGTGCGGGTCTGCGCGGCGCGGCACAGCGGGGCGCTAGTATCGCGGTGTCGCTGACCCCGCGGCCCCGAGGCTCGCCTACGCTCACCGAGGCCGATCGCACCGACACACTTTTCTGCCCGCTTTAACAATTTTTATCATAGACTTACACATTTGCACTATTGATTTGAAATTCAAGAATTGTAAGCCGAACAGTATTAAAAATATTAATTATCAAGGAGCACAAACTAAAGTACAATCGTAATGAGTGAAAAACGATTTAAAGCTATCAATATTATGACGAAGACTCTAAATATAAATTCCTGTAGATGAAAATAATTATGCGTTGTAAACATTCACTTTGGATTGCGCACTGAGAAATAAATCCCAATGTATTCGATACGGGAGCTATTAATAGTGCATGTTTACACTATTTAATGTAAACGTTTCGCCTCGCAACACTCGAAAACAAGTCTGCGCAAAAGACCGGAATTCATCGACTGCTAGTAAATCGAGTGCTAGTTAATGCGTAATAATAATAAAATGTCCTTCAAGTTTTCGTGCGCAATAAACATTTTTATATAGGTACGTGCGATAGCAAATTTGCAGACATTTTAAAAGCAGCGGGACTCACCGGTACACGTCTTACTTAATTCGATGTAACACATGCGCATAACACCGGAGAAAGTTTCGGACTTTCAAGGACGCGCCGAAACTCAGTTCAGCTAACATTTGGATTCAAAGCACGGTCCTGCGAGGACACTCTTGTATGCTCTATGAAATAAATAACTACAAAAATTTTGCAGCCTCCTGATCAAACTAATATAACTAATCTACCGTAGACGAAAGCGATCTCGCTGCGTGAAGGTGAGTGGCGGCGCAACGTGGCTTGACACGTACCCACTCGACCAATAATCTATTATTAGTTTATGCCCTCATGCATCGGATTGTGTCGCGACACGATCACTCCGCCAATTTGATACAAACGCTTCGATACTGGTAATTGAACGTAAAGTAAAACGGCAAGCAAAATAATTGCCCTTTGCAAGTCGTACAAAAGATAAGAACTCACCGTCCTGAATTGGTGCGCCCGTTGAGTTTCTATTAGTATCTCCCCCGCGCTCACCTGCAAGCACGCGATCAATGCGCTCAATGTTAACCATATTATAAAGTACCCGGCTTGAATACATTTATTCACTGTTCGATGCCGACCGGAAACTTTCTATATTAAACTTGTAACAAATAAAATAAATTCGTTTCAGTAACAATATTTAACAAAGTTTTATGTGCTTGGTTTTACAAAAGCACGAATCTTTTCCGAGATTGATAAGTCGCGTCACATAATATTATGTACATTTGCTGGTGAACTATTTACGTTCGGCCGCCATCTTGTTGAATGACGAAACTGTTTAGACTCACATATACACCTACAAGCATGTGTCATTATCCATTCTTTGTGGATTCTGTCTTAAAAATGTATTTAGACTCAAATATGGTTTGTAATAGTCTGTTAGAAGTTGGAACCGCCAACAAATCATACAAGGAACAATAATTTAAAACATTATTTTACTCACTCTATTCAATATCGTTCCGGTGAGCAAAGAATATGTACAACGTGATCGATAAAATGGATCATTTGAATAATCAATAAAACAAAACAACGTACAAAAGCAATGGCCCGGCGCGGTAAAGTGACGCGTCAATAGGACGAAGGAGGGCAACCGGGGGCTGCGGAGGGGAGAATCGGGGGGGGGGCAGAACGGACGGAGGCGAGACACATAATGGAATTACATATCTACCACATCACTTACTCGGCCGAGAGCACTAACACACGAATGCATAACTAATAATATACGAGCGCCATCGAGCGCAAAGCGGCCCAGGTAGGTAAACCGCTGCGTTATCACCCGGCTCACGTGACCAACTCGCCACTGCAATCTTCCTATCTATTTATCATTTGATAATTACTAATACTATATATTAATCTTTGGAACGTCACGAGGGCGACTAAAAAAATTACGTAGTCTGTCGCAACGATCGTGAGTGACGAGGCGAGATGCGCCTGACTTTGTATTTTATATGAATTTTGCCTTACAATAAATTCATACTATATATTCTACAGCGTATTTACCACTAGTCATGAGCTGAAAACGTGTACGCCGTATGAATTTTGATAAAAAATTTGAATAAAAAATGCGGGCACAGATATGTGACAAGACGGTCTAAGAGGGGTGCACAGATCTGTGTCAAAACGTTCGAAAGGTTAATTACCAAAACATGCGTCGAATATATGTACATATTATACCTGTTAATCAATAATCGTACCTGCAGCACTACTATTCAAGTTCACCGAAAAACTAACTAAATACAGTTATTGCATTACAAATTCAAACGATATTAAGAAAGAAGACAAAGTCTAGCGTGGAGCTATTATTTTCAAGCGACAGTCTCGATGTAGATTTTAGTTTGGATCGCGCGACTCGAATGCGCCGCCATTTTCTTTTGTACACGTAAGCGAGAATCGGTGAGACTGTTGTGCAGTGACGTAGGCCAATGATACATAGCTACGTCTCCGCGGTACAGACGAACTTAGCTAACGAGCCAACCTGCCGCACTAAACGTGGGACGGAGAACAAAAGAATTTATCCAATCGATAATAACAAACAAAGCTTAAGAATTTTTCCCTCGCTCGCCGTTGTGCGAATTCGTAACGATGAAATAAGTGCACTTTATTTCAAAATCATTTTAATTTTTAACCAATGGAACTGGTCTGGAATATTTATTCCTCATCAATATTTACAATCATATGTCATGCCCTTTTGATTACAACAACCTTGTGTTCACATTAGTTGTCCTGCGTAGAATAAGGAAAACACAAGATTATTGTAAATATGACAATAAAAAATTTTCTTTATATGACGGTGTAGTTTGCACAAGTTGACGTCTTTTCCCGTTTAAAATTTGAATTTACCTCATATCAATCCTCATCCAAAGAAATTTTCTCCGTATATCAGACTCTAAAAACTACAAACGCTAAAAGTTTGATTATTCGCTTCACAATAAAGGTTCGAGTTTGCTGTGCATCGTTCTCATTATTTATAAAATTTCAAGGCTCGTTTAACGATTATTTAAAATAATTGACATTTAAAGACAACTCGACTTGTTGGACCAGACTTTTGAATATGTGCTACTTATATTAAGAGTAGCGAGTGACCATATGTTAACATTCAGCCAGTATCCAGTATCAGACAGCGAGTCTTCGAAGTTCGCTCCTAGGCAACGAAGAAGCCGATTATTTAGGTAGATATCAAATAGACAAGTCTTATCTGTAATGAGTCCTCTGTCATTAAAACTGTAGTGATCGATCGCTGCCCAGTGTGATGACTTTGTCAAGTGGTATTTATTCATTGTAAAATATATCATCCGCTCTGTATGTTTATATCTAAACGGTTATAACAATTATCGCTAACGCGTTTGTGTCAATTATTAACGTCAACAAAACACGTACTGATGTAAATAGATATGCTTTATAACTATTCGATCGTTACATTTGCCTAAAATTGTCGAATATATAAATAACATTTTTGTTACGTGATAATAAAATATGTCGTTTTTGTTTGTTGTTTTCTTTTAGTATCATGAAGGCGCGAATATTTCCTTTTTCCCTTCGCGTATATTCTTTTCCCCACCCTATCTTATGTTATTAGGAAAGGGTGAAAGGAAGGAAAGACAAGAATGGTCTTTCGGAAAATAACTTATTAGACGAAGCGCACAATACTTTACTTCATACTGTCCTCTGTGTGTTCATGGACTATCGATTTTACAAAACAGTGTTTTAATACACAGTTAATTAGAGGAACTTATGCAACAAATGTACGAGCACGCGGCATTTAAGAACTTTTTAGCAGAATATTTCAACACGAACATTTACTTTTGTTAGAATTTATCATAAACTTATATTTAGATGAAAATATACGTCTATAGGGACACGTCTAGTAAAGGTCACCCCTAAAGTTTGTCTCCCATGTTCGATCCAGTAAAACCAAAGCACAGGGCGCCAAATCGTCGCGTCAATTATTCAGATAACAGATAGACAGATTTTTTTATTGATTTACTCATAGAGTCTTTAGCTATTATAGTCAATAATGCCAACAAATACCAAATATTTTTGTGTGTGTTTTATGTAACGTTACCTTGGCGCCTAAGAAGCGAGCCTCCAGTAACTCCTGCTTGCGAGGATCCAGCGCCGCCTGGAACTGCTCCATCTTGACGCCAGCGCCTGGAAAACAAAATCTGTTCACACATACGTTCACGAGTAGTACAACAAAATTCAATCTTTAAACTATATGTTGCGGTAGGCCTTAGGTAAATAAAAGAATATAATTTAAATTCTCAGTACTCTTTTCCAGTTTCGAAGTGTTCGGTATCATTCAATAACTTTAATGTTTGAGGCTTTTCAAGATTGAAGTCCTATTGTAAAACTACTTTTTTGTCCCAAGCCTTAGGAAATAATCCTGCACCCCATAGGCCTTATATCCGATAAGGAAATGAGGTGCACATCTGTTCGATGTGGAAACTTATGCAAGTTTCTTTAATGTCTATGTTAACTACTATTTAGCTATTAAAACTCGATACATGGTAGTAAATTAACGACATTTTATAATGACTTAGACATATTTAGATTACAAACAATCATACTGCGCACGTTTGTATGGAGATTGGCAAAAACACTTTTTAATACAAATACGATACGATCGATCAGATGTTTTATTATTCATCCCTAAGCGGACGAAGTCGCACCTGGTCCTTTATGAGAAGGTTGCCTAAATTCCATGGCCTTAAGTATGCATAATGAACAAACGTGTGGGGTGTGTGATGAAGGACGACAATGGGTTACTAAAGTTCAACATAGGCTCCAAACGGCGATTAAAGTGATTGGCTTATGTTTAGCTGTTGTCCATTCAAGTGGCTTTTAAGATATAATTCATTCACCCGACCTGCCTTCAAACATTAATGTTGATGTCATAATGTTAATAACCTGTTGTAACCGGTATAAACATTTGAATGTCTGCATATTACTTGTTATTTACGAGGATTTATGCAAACCAAATTATATAAGATACATCATTCAGCATTACAATGATCCTTCAAATATTCCACGACTAGCTACATCAATGGCAAACATTTAGCAGGGAATTCAATAACTACAGATTTCGTTTATACAATAACAGTGACCATGATTTGTTCAATTAGACTAAAAAAAAACCAAAACCTATTTGAGTTAAGAGTTTATATTATAATCCATAGATCACAGTCGTACATCACTAGAAGCGAGAGGACTTAATAAGGATGTTAGAAATATTAGTAACATCCTGCACAAAAAGACTTTTAGGTCTCAACAGTCGGCTATCGTTTTACAAGCCTTAGTTTCAAAGAAGAAAAGTGGTTTTTGCAATTGATTAATCTTTGTGATCAGATCGAAGAAAGTTCATGACTACAATGTAGAAATTTCTTCAGATAACAATATTTTAAAATGAAAATGTGATATAAATATCACCTAAATATAAGGGAATAATTATAGTTCGACTTCGATGATTTTTTCGACAAAAGAATGAGCAACACTGGGAGTTAGAGGGCGGTCGGGGAAGTGGGGAGGTGTTGTTGGAGGGGAACGGGGTTTTGGCGCAGTATCTGGAGCAGACAGTCGAGTTGCGAGAAGTTAGGTACGGTTATTTATATAGGTAGGTACGTATGTATGTTCAATGTACATATTGATCGCCTCCCCGGGCCACTCGCCACTATGATCTCACCTCGGAGCGCCTCCTCTGCGACGCCCTCCCCTGCGCCCACACCCCGCGCTCTACCGCATCGCCCCTGAGGCTTATAACGAACCGACTGTCAATGCCGAATGTGACCTATGAATCTGATTACAAAACGCCGCATTCTCAAATGTTCATTTGCAAGAGAATAAAGAAAGGTTTTCGGACTGTAATCCAATCCTCGTTGAACATTTCTTGTTTATAATGGTCATAGCAAGACTATTATATTAACTCCATACTCATTTCATTGTTTTTTACATACCACTTATCTCGTGTCTACCGTTAATTATGTATATCAGTTGATCGGTTTTCCATTAGTCAGAAATTGTATTTATTTTAAACGAATAACGAGTCGGTCAAAGTATTACGTCAAGGTCATGATCAAATTAATAATATTTTTTTAACTTCTTTATTTTGACTTTAGGCGTTACCCATTCTCTGGATCCATGTTTCTACAACTATAATTCATTTGGTGAAATGCATTATGAAAAATTATTAAACATTACATTTGTTACAGAAAAAATATAATTTCTTTTGAAGGAGCAATTTTTTTGTAGTGCAGTAAAGAAATCAGTGTTATAGGAGAGCCGTGACCGCTTTAAGACGGACAACAAGTCGATGAATCGATACGAACCGCTTGAACTTGTGCCTGACTCGCTTTGACAACTCTGCGAAAACCTTGCGTTTCATGTACAACTTTACTAGGATTTCTCGTCAATATTGCAACTTGTGACTTTGTATAAATAGTTTATTAAAAAATTAACAATAGCCGACGACTCTTGTACTTTGTAAAAAAAGGGCATGTTAACGAAATCATACTATACTAATATTATAAATACGAAAGTTTAGATGGATGGATGTTTATTAGAGTTTATAGCCTTAACAGCTGAACGGATTTGGATGAAATTTGGCGTAAATGTAGAATATAATCTGAGCGATATAGCGATATATTCTGAACACATAGGCTACTTACTTTTGTTGTTTTTTAGTTCCACGCGGACGGAGTCGCGGGCGAAAGCTAGTAAGGAATAAATTCAGAATACCGCCGTTTATATGGCAATCTAGACCAAAAATCTGTCACTGAGTATTCAATAAAGTTATATTCTACACGGTGTGTGTTTTATTATATCACGTTAAATACATAATAAGAGAATTTAATTGAAACAATTAATTAATCGTCATATTGATTTACGACTTAAATACAAGCAAAAGTAAGAAGTAATTTGTCCGTAAAACATGTTTACGAAAAAGGCAAACTTGAGATTTTACTATTCTCTCTCTTTCAGTTGTCCCGTCATTATAAACCAAGGTCTACATTACAATCGATAATAATAATACGTACTCGACAATACCATTTGTATAAATTCAGGTAGTAAAAATGGTGTATCATCTTCAACTCGCACCCAAAACAGGTCAACACAAAAAATACAAACAGAACCCTGTCAAATAACATAAAGGTGCATCAGCTAATACAAAACTTGAATATTTATGTAAACTCTATTACTTCTTCACATTTTAATGAATAAAAGTTAATTACTTCGTTACCTTTTAAATGAGATCTAAAACCAGACGAAATCAAGTTTATCATTTGGTATATTTTTGCTTAAGTTTTTCTCAAAGATGTAGTTTATGAGGTTGATTATTTACAATAGCATGAAGGTACATCATATCTAACACATTCAGAGTAGGCAGACACTGAAATAAGGTAAACATTTCTTCAACCTTCATATTTACAATTGTGAAGCTGAGTATATATTTTGTACCCAAAATGCAAAATTTTAAGTACATTTTCCTTAGTGACATATTTTTTTCATTTCTATTTATAGTTCCTCATACTTATGGCCGGGGGAGCAGTTAATCGATAACTTGATTAGTAGTAAACCTGTTTACAGAGTGTCCATGAACCCATCTGGTGTCACAACTTAATACTTCTAATAATATAAACACATTACCTATATATTTGAACAACAAACTATGTTAAAACAAACCATTTGAAAGTTCAATGAGTGTTGATTGACCCTTTATTAGATTGATGGTAAAAATATTGACACACTAATACCACGAGTGTGTTCTTTTACATAAAATAAGTGAATTCATCACTCAGATCAGTGGATCTTTAGATTAGATTAAAGATCACAGCAGATTGGTAGTGTGTATTATTGCTATGTGATATTAATAAATAATAATAAAAAATAACAACAAAATGCAACTGCAACTGGACACAAAGCCGGCATCTGTCAGGTGCGTTTTACGTAAACACGATAAAAAATCAAGTATTGCACTGAGAAAGAAATAAAAATTCAACGGTAATAATTTTGATAATCTCTAAATGGATGCATAAAGTCCAGTTAAACTGGTTTGGTCACAATCGTTTTATATTTAAAACGAAGGCTTGACAACCGTTAGCCGTTACAACGCTATGAATTAAGGAAGTCAAAATACGATGTTTTAAATATTGCTACTAGTTCTACATTTTCATCCCAGGTAAGTTACTTGTACAGAAAAAATGATTGTAATGTTTGACAGCGAAACCTAAAACATTATAACAAGTCAACATTGTTATCATAGTGATATTGTAACAATAATGAATGAGGTTAGTTTCACGACGGGCATGATGTATACGTTTATACGTATCAAATTTCAATAATTCATTACAACTCAAAATCATACAACAGATAGAGATCTAACATCTTATGAGCATTCTAAACGTAAACATCGTTTAGATTATTTGATATTGAGTAAACCAATACCGAGTATGGATTACGAGCTAATGTAAACTTTAAAGAAAAATATTGACAAATGCAAAGTTTCACGCATTGTTACCAGTGGTTTGTCGGCGGTCGTCGGAACTCTGAGCTACGTTGAAACCTACGATGCACACACGAGCATCCTACGAGCTAGTGTGTAAGAATTCGATATTTACATAGCAAACTATATAAGTTCGTATGTGTGTGAAGTTATTCGCGCACGCTATCGTTGTGCCACTTTCATGTCTATCCATGCCGCAGTAGTACTTATTGGTACGTTCTAGTTAAGTTAAACTGAGATCAGTAATTCCCAAACGTGCCATTTTTCCTAACTTACAATCATACAAGACAGATAAATTATAAGGTATGCTGTATGTATACCTACAATATAGAACAAAACGAAAAGTAGAAGTTAAATGTTGCCAAATGACCTTGAAACATTAAGGCACATGCATCAAGTATTAATATTGCCACAATTGTTTATTTAAGCATTTAGTCGCGTTTAATGTCCATTCTATATTTATATTTAAATGATGATGTGCTGATACATGAATAATAACAACAAGTAGTTTGCATGTCATAAACACAACACTCATAAGCACCACAACATTGAGTTAACAGTATTCATATGGCCGTAACCGTAACCATAAAGACAGCGCGCGCAGTGTTTTCCTTAACGACGAAACAGCTGATACGTTATAACAAGCGCGCCG